GCCCCGGGGCACTGGGCTGCTGCGGGCAGGAGCCTGCTGGGGCTGGCAGCTCCCTTTTAAGCCCTCGTGGATTATGCTGGGTGCTTGCCAGGAGGGGTGGGAGGAGGAAGAGAAGGATGAAGAGGAGGTCAGCAGGCCGGGGACACAGGTGCCACGTTCCTGGAGGACCTATCTGTACCTAAACACAGCCACGGGGCTCCTTGGACACCCTCCGAGGCTCTTGGTGGTCCTACTAGAAGTGACAGGGTGTGCTCCAGTGGCTTTGCAGCTGGCACTTGCCCACCCATGGGGCAACAATCCCTGAATGTCCCATCCCTCTGTGGCTGTCACCCCCAAAAATGTGTGATGGTGGCCACGGAGGAGGTGGGGATCAAGGAAGGAGGAAGAAAGGTTGGAAAGAAACGTGAGGAAGGTGGTAGGAAAATAGTGGCATAGCTTGGGGTTTTATTTGGTCCCAAGGGAGCTGGTGGTGCTGGCATGGTCCTGGCATGGCGTGGGGGATGGCAGGTGTGCAGCTGGGTTTGCACAAGGATGTGTGCACAGGCAGAGGGGCGGGTGGGCCGGCCATGTTCCCCTGCCCCATGGGGTCCTCCATGCAGCACGACCTGCTCACTCCAGCTGCTGCAGGAAGGCCAGAAGCCCACGGTGCCACTCCTCGGGCTTGTCCAGGTAGCAGGCATGTCCGGCACCCTGCATCACCAGCACCTGGTGCTTGAGGAGGTGCTGCAGGTTGTTCAGGCTGGTCTGCCCCAGCTCCACATCCTGGTCCCCGTACACGATCAGCGTGGGTGTCTGTGGAAGGGGAATGCACCTTGAGTCTGCCAATGCCACCCAGGCCCCAGCTCCTCCTCACCAGGGACACTGTGGGACCATGATATGGAGGGGTGACACTTGCCCTTCTCCCCTGCCCAATACGACAAGAGGAAACTGAAGCTCAGGCTCCTGGGTCTCTTTATGTTCCTGCTTTCCCTCCTAGTACCACACAGTCATGTCCCTTCACCATCATGCTCCACTTTTCCAGTGGCAGCAGGGTTTCTGGCCTGTTTGGTCTATTCCTTGCCCAACCTCAGTGCCAGGGTCCCTCCCTCCCAGTCCCCTCCCAGTTCCCTGAGCTCCCTCCATCTCCCCCCAGGCCATACTTTGATCTGGGCGTACTGCTCTGCTGTAAACTTGTCGGTGCAGATGGGTGCCACAGGCACATATGCCTTGAGCAGGTGGTTGTGCTGGAAGAGGAAGGGCAGGGAGTACATGCCGCTGAGCGACGGGCTGATCACCACAGCCGGACCCAGGCACAGAGCCTCCGAAACTGCCTTCAGGAAAGACCCCGGCGCTGGCTGGCCCACAGGCGCTGGGGCCACAGCATCCTTCGAGTGACCCAGCCCTGAGCCGTAAGAGACAGAAGTTGCCCCGTCACACCTTCCCGCTGCCTTGCGCAGCAGGTGCTGGGCCTGCCGTCCCAGCGTGACAAACGCGAGGGGCTGTATCGGCTCCCTCCGGCCCCCACCTGGCTCTGGGGCTGTGCTCCCCAGCACGCCTTACCCGGCAGGTCAATGGCCACTGCTCGGTACCCGTTCTCGGCCAGCGTGGCCAGCGTCCCCAGCTGCAGCCAGGTGTGGGAGGGGAAGCGAATGCCGTGCAGAAGAAGCACCGGC